AGAGCGTGACGCTGGTCGACGCTCGGATGTTGGGAGACTCTCAGAGTGCCGTCTTGACTTTCTTCGGGGACATTCTACCAAGATATGTTTACTACAGAGGAGGTGAGAAGGAGTGTATTCCTTTTCGTAACACCGTCCAATTCTGCCGGGCGTGTGGGGCGGTTGGCCACCGCACCGACGTGTGTCCGCAGCCAGACTCACCCGTGTGCCATACCTGTGGAATGCGCAACCCCGAAGTAAACCATAATTGCACTCCGACATGCGCAATTTGCACGGGAAACCATATCACTGGAGACCGCAGTTGTCTGAAACGCCTCAAGCCTATTCGCAAGCAAGCAGCGAAACCACCCAAAAAACCACACAAGCCAGCCCCTCGCTGGTTTCAGTCGGAGGAAGAGGAATCAGAATGGGAGTACGGACGAGGCGGGACCCGAAAGAGCCGTTCCAGAACCCGCACGCCGTCGAAAAAACGTGCCGTGGAGACAGGACAACCAGGACAGCGGCATCCAAAGTCGACTTCGACGCCGAGAGCAATCTCCCAGGACAATCCGAACGCGCAAGCCCTTCCGAGAAGCAAGCCACCGGGGGCGTGTCCTGCACATAGCAACCCACAGGCGGACGCGGTAAGCTATGCGCAAGCCGTATCTCCCACTACCAAACATAAACCCGTTACACCAACGATCACAGAACACCCAGAATACAAGCGGGTAGTAACTGAAAACAGACAACTTAGAACAGAACTACAGGAGGTTAAGTCTCGAATGGCGCGCCTGGAGTCACTACTAAACCAGTCGAGCAACACAGAAAGCCCGGCGAGCACACCTGTTGTCTCGCAGCCCGTTGCGCAGCCCGTGGCAACGCAACCACCACAAACACCGCCGATAGCGTTCCTAGTTCAACAAATTCAACTTGTTTTTGCCAAACTAGGCCAGATGGAACGCACCATAAGCGACTTGAGTCAGGCGCAGAATCCTCGCAAGAGATCTTGTCAGAGCCCGGGTGCCCCCACCAGACAACCTAAAGAAAGTGGAATAACAGATTCCGAGAATACCAATCATGGCTAGACACCGTAACAATAAAAAGACCGAGCAAACGGAAATATGGCAGTGGAACTGCTGCTCATTGAGAACAAAACTTGAAAATTTCAAACAATTTATTGGAGCATCTCCAATCCCTCCTGATATAATCTGCCTTCAGGAAGTAGGCAAATTTCAGATAAATCTGAGAGGATACATAAGACATGTTAACCCAAAGTACCCACAAGTGGCGACATTTACCAAAAAAGATATCGCATTGAGTGTCAGCTACGTGAGCAATGAGGCAGTGCAACACCAGATAATAACAGTGTGGCCCAAAAAACGTGGAGGACCAAAAACAGTGGGGGTCAATATATATAGCCCACCTAAGGAGAGACGAGCCGACTTTGAGAACATTATAGCACATGCGATGGGTTTATTGAAAGAGAAAGACAGGTTAGTTATCATGGGGGATTTTAATGCGCCACACAGAAATTGGGGATATAAGCAGGACAGCCCTAAGGGCAAACTCCTTGTAGACCTTGTTGAACGGTATGATCTCTGCCAACTTACACAACCAGACCTACCGACACGTGTCGGGAATAGCTTAACAAAAGACACGTCACCGGACTTAACGTTTACAAATTCTGAAGGAAACGTCTCATGGGCGCACCTCGGAGAAAACTTGGGAAGCGACCACTACATTCTCGGAATAACTATTAATGCCGCCACGACAAGAAGAATGGGGAAAGCGACAATATCTGATTGGAACAAATTTAGGGAGAACGTAGGAGACCAAGGGGAAATAATAGATCTAGGTAACTGGGTGACACAGATAAAGGAGGCACACAGGAAAGTGACAAAGGAAATAGAAACAAGCGTGGAAATCCCAGCAGTCTACAAGCACCTGCTACATTTGTGGGACGCGCGGAGAAGCCTCACAAAGCGATGGCGGAAGCAAAAGCTTAATCGCAAATTGAAGATAAGGATAGCTCAGTTGTCACAGGAAGCCAATGACTACGCACGTCAACTAAATAACAGTAACTGGAGGCAATTTAGTAACTCACTTAGAGGGACGTTAGGAACCAAAAAGACCTGGCACATCCTGAGGAGTATGATCGATCCAGGGGCAACAAAAACAATGACGAACAGGGCTTTAAGAATTCTGGAGAATGAATTTAAAGGTAACGATGACGCACTTATCTACGAAGTCAAGAAATTATATGTCGGACAAGACGCATGTGAAGTGGTACATGGCAAATATGCAGGAAAAGAACAACCAGAGTTAGACGCTCCCATAACATTTGAAGAGGTTTATGCGGCGGCCCAGTCTTTCAAAAAGAATACCGCCCCAGGACGAGACAAAATAACAAACTCTATGCTTAGAAATTTGAGTGATGCGGCCCTTCGACGAATCACGGATTTCTTTAATGAAAAGGTATGGGTAGATGGAGGAAACCTTCCAGTAGAATGGAAGGACTCAAACATCATGTTAATACCAAAACCAGGGAAACCAAGAGATATTAAGAACCTCCGACCAATCTCCCTTACCTCATGCTTGGGTAAGCTTTTTGAAAAAACAATATTGACTAGATTGACAGACTATGTAGAGAGAGAGGGTCTGCTACCGGTGAATATGTTCGGTTTCCGACCACATGTATCGGCCCAGGATGTTTTCCTGCTGTTGCAAAATGACGTCATGAACCCAAACAGAGGTTCAAGCGACGAATTCGTACTAGCACTAGATATCAAGAAAGCATTCGATACAATATCACACAAGGTGATAATGGAAGGCCTCGAATCGATTAACTGCGGCCAACGAATATATGAGTATGTCCGGTCATTTCTGACAAGCAGGAAAGCTACCATTTCTTTAGGCTCGGTTACATCTGAAACCTTCGACTACCCAAATAGAGGCACCCCCCAGGGAGCCATGCTATCCCCGATACTATTTAATATCGGCCTGAGAAAGCTCGCATGTGAGCTGGAAAATATAAAAGGTCTAGGAGCAGCTCTTTACGCAGACGATGTCACCTTATGGACAAAGGGTGGCTCTTATGCGGACAAAGAAAACGCCCTCCAGGAGGCAGTAGATAAAATACAAGCTTTCGTGACAGCTGCAGGAATGCAATGCTCGCCGGAAAAAACTGAAATGGTTAGAATTAGGGCAAGATACGCAAAGAAAAAGGACTTAATACCGGTAGCAGTACTGCTGGATGGGAGACAAATCAGGGAGGCAGATGTAATACGCGTGCTTGGCATGTGGATACAAGGAAATTCGGGAACGTCACACACACTACAAAGGCTACGGGGAACCACGGCGAATGTGGCCCGGATGATCAGGCGGATAGCAAATAGCGAAATGGGACTAGAGGAGAAAGAAACCATTGCACTCGTTCATGCATTTGTGATCAGCCGAGTTACGTACGCGCTACCGTACCAGACAATGACAAACCAGGAGACAAAGCAAATAAACACAATAATAAGGAAAGCATTCAAAGCAGCATTGGGGATTCCGGAAAATGCCAAAACCGAGAGGGTAGAGAAATTGGGCATATACAATACCTTTGAGGAGTATGCGAATGCGGTGCTTTTATCTCAAAAGGAAAGGCTCAATTCAAGCTATCATGGGAGAAGAATTCTGGAAAAGATGGGATATACATTGCGACCGTTATATTGTGACGAGGAAACGGTGCTAATAGATGCGGAAAAACGCACACATTTAACTGTAGCGCCTATTCCCAGAAATATGCATCCGACGTATCACGCAGGAAGGAGGAAAGCGAGAGCAGACTCCTTACGCAAAGCATTTCAGAATAGCTCAGAAGCCGTCTTTACAGACGTAAGTAAAGCGAGCAGAGGGTCACATGTAGTGGCAATTGTAGCACAAAATCACACCACAATGGCGTCGGTTAAAACTTGTTTCACACGAGTGGCAGAGGCGGCAGCAATAGCCATATCCAACGCAGAAATCAGGGGAGAATCAGTGGTTGTGCTCTCCGATTCACAGGCGGCATGCCGAATGTTTCTCCGAGGAACGCTACCTAAAATAGCGTATAAATTTTTGAATAAACCCATAACAGGAGACCATCACATTGTATGGTGTCCTGCTCACGAAGGTTTGGAGGGGAACGTCGTGGCAGACCGTATAGCTCGAGGCATCACCAACCGAGCGACGGCAGGCCACGACGTTGAACCTCTTTCCAATTCGCGTGACATCCTCCTCCAACAAAGGAAACAACGAAAGGAATATGGGCTTCCACATAAGGACTTGGATAGCCAGCAAAGCAGGGATTGGAGACGAATACAAACCAATAGCTTTCCCAATTTGTACCATCTAAGTAGAATATATCCCGCAAGATATAAAGACACCTGTCCGTGGTGTTCACAAGTACCAACACTCAGCCACATAACATGGGAGTGCACCCAGAGGCCCACACACATCGACAGCCCACACATCACGAAGCAACCACACATGCTTCACAGGCAGTGGGAGGCATGGCTTGCGGACGAGGACAGGCAGAGCCAAATAGCTTTGCTTGACCAGGTCCAGCGAGCCGCTCGTGCCAGCGGAGCCCTGGACTGAGGGCCCGACCAAACTGCCTGCATTTCAAATTTTTTTTTTCTTTCTGAATAAAGTTTCTTCCTCTGGATTTGTTGACGCATTAGCGCCTGGGGGGCTATAAATGCGAGCACAGCCTGCACACCCACAAAGTGAAGTCGATAGATGTTTGATTTTTACGACGCTAGCTTATTCAAGCACTCTAAAGGTTTTTCCCGAGACATTAATGGCGCGTAATAAGAAGTTTGCGCTCGGCGAAGAACCCGGTCGGTGGTAAAAACTGTGGAAGTTCGACAGGTCTGAGGTGTGATAAAAACAAACGACGAAAACGGACAAAAAAAAAACAATAAATCTGTACATGAAAGCGAAAATGCGCGCAGCAGCACTCCTTCAGTGAGAACAGCGTGACGTCACTTCTTTTCAATCCGCCCGCGCCATCCTTTCGATAACGCGGTTGTGTGTTTTCTGGCGTGGTATTCGCGGCGTAACCGCCAATCGACGTGTACCGTACGATTTTTAGGTCGTCACATATAAGGGTACGTTGACAAAAGCGTAGAGCGTTTGCCTACGACTACACACTTCGCGACTCGCTCGAGTCTTACGGGGTACCTGCGGCTTGGGAACACATCGCGATATGACCATCGCCGCGTTCACCTCGTCGACGGTGACGGTGCTCTTCCTTGTTCTAGGCAGTGTCTTGGGAACTGCCATAGTCCTGACAGAACGTGGCGTCTACTCGTCGCCACAAAAGTTCGACGGCGGCATCGACGTGTACTGCTGGGAGCCGCCGGTACACGACGGCCTGCCCATTTTCGTCGACCTCTTCACAACGGCGACGCTCAAGTTCTACCTCGCTCCCGACGACCTGCGACTGTTCACCGGTGAAGACGAGTGGGCCGTGCAGCACAAGTACCTCCACAGCGGTATCGATTTACCTAGCTTTACGATGCCTAAATTTCTGCGCAAACTCAGCTTGAACAGTCGGGACCACCGCTGCGTTGGCGTGTATTCGACAGGACCGTACGAGTTCGCGTTCGCGCGCGAAATCGACCGTCGAGGTGTCCTCCAGTTCTGCGTCGGCGTCGTCGTCTTTTTCGCAGCTCCCGTCATTTCCCGCAGCGCCGCGGTCTTCTACACCTCAGGCACGTGCGTCGGCGTCCTAGCCTTCCTTTTGATTGCCGTGTTCATCGCGAGTCGCTTGCTTCCGCGCAGGACCGCGGGCTACGCCCTGTTGATCTTCGGCTGGGCCGTGGTCGTGTCGTGGCTAGATCTCCTCTGGTCCAACTTGCAGGAGGTCTTAAACAATTACCGGCACATCGCTGTCTGCTACGTCGTCGGATCGGCCGCCCTGAGCTTCGCGGTCTGCTACAGGTTCGGTCCGCCGACCAACCCTCGAACTCTCGACTTGATCCAGTGGTCACTTCAGTTGGTCAGTCTGGCGTGCGTTTATTTCTCGTCCGACAGAAGCGACGTCATGGCGGCCGTGGTCGTACTGATGCTCTCCACCTACGCTCTGCTTTCGTTCCGGTCGCGGAGGCCTCCTGCTGCTGCCCGCCTCGACCTCAACGGCTCGACGGCCGCGATAATTGAACAATGTGCGACTCCGACGGATTCGCCGCGGGCTTCGACTCGCGCCCAGTTCGACGATGACGGCATGTGGACGATAGTTACCAAGATACGGGCTCCTCGGGCGAAGCAGATCGCCATGTGTATCCGTGCCGACGACGGCGTGCGGTCTCCGCGACAGTGGGTGACGGTATCAGAACGTCGAGGCATGTCAGGACAATGGCGAGGAGTACGAGGTGGATTGTTTCCGCGAGGGTCCGAATGACGAAGTGTCCCATGACGCGCATTGAATGATGTGGTAGGCCCTTCAGCATTTGCTCGTCGAAGCGGTGGATACTTGTCGAGCGTACTCAATGACCTGTTTGCGTCAATGCACCTTTTTTTTTTCGTCAGCCTTGTAATTAGGACTGTGTGGTTGAACGCGCGAGGACCTTGCGGAACAAATGTGTTACAAACTGATATGTCTTGTTCAGGCTGCACTGCCTGGAATTGTATAGGCATCGTCTTTATTAAACTTCGAAGCGCGAAATCGACGAACACAGGCGGGAACAGAGATACACAGGACAGAGTGTCATGTCCGCTATGTCCTGTGCATTCGCGCTCCTTCCTGTCCTCGTCGATTTTGCGCTTCGGAGTTTTAAGATTATGAACCAACTAGCCCAGCAATGCATTCTTTTAAGGCATCGTCGTCTTCTTTTTTTTTGCATATTTATTCAATATATGAGAAGGGCACTCGGATTGTTGAGAATTGGAGCTACATTATGCACTTTGTGCAATGCAGCTAAAGAAAAAAAAAATATTCCTCAACCTTTACATTTGTTTGTCACTGTCGTCATCTCTTATGTAATGAGGTGACCTCTACGAAAGAAACCACAGGGCAGTATTTTCGTACATATCATTTATTGACCTTTCACTTCAAACATGATGCAAACAGTAATGGGCAAAAAAGAGATGGGGGCGGGGGTGCTGACAAATGCACAATTAACAAGTAGCAAGTAGTAAGAACCAAAAGGCTTGCAGAATATGACGCGTATTATTTCTGCCTTCAAAGCCTTCATCTAAATCAAGACAGTCACTCTGAAGCCACTTGCATTATTCAAAAAACTAGTCAACATTGCTACTTCCAAACTAGAAACTGTCCACGCCAAATGCATGCAAGACCTTCTGAATGATAATTTACTCCCACTTGAACTGGTATAGCGCATTATGGGGAAGAAGAGACGGCCGAGCAGACTGACACAAGAGGACAGAGTGCTAACTTCCAACTCAGTACGACGAACCAACTCGCGCAATCTTCAACACTCGTGGACTTAATTTACTCCCAGTTTTAAGAAATATTGCAGCACTACTTTCTCAGTTCTGTAGAAAAATGTACTGGCTTGCATTGTTGTGCAAAACACGTGGCCTCGCTGCCTTCTTCAGCCAGAAGTTTACTTACTATTGGGAAAGAAAGCTAATGCAGACACACGGGTGCTCTTTCACCAACCCTGGGTGCTCATGTTTAAAGACAAAACGAGTGAAATATATGTGCAGAGAGCAATGTACTGAACAACACAGACCGAGAAACATCATTTCCGAAAAGTTTAAGCAGGAGCAATGCTGGTGTAAGAGTAAACAAATACAAGTTTCTAAAAAAACACATGGTGCGTTGTTAGTACAAGTTCTTGCCAAGACTGCTGTTGAGCGACGAAAGAAATATTTCTATAGGAATGCAAGAACTGTGCATATTCATATGCAGTGGTTGTGTAGGAACACAAGAATGTGCACTACAGGGTCACTCAGGTGCACTAGAAGACATGTGGGATTGGAGCGAAATCTCATTCCTCTCCCGTAGTAACAAACAAACACATATCATGCAACACATTGAAACCATAATCAAGTAACACACGCGCTAAAACAAGTTTCTCACGCCCTGCCAACAGCTTCTACTCCCAAAGTCGGCTTTAACAGATATAAACCTATATGAACCAACACTAACCTAAAAGACGCAGGCACAACAGTGTTTTGAAAATATATAGCAATGTATTAATAAAAATTATCTTGTTTCTTTACTATGTCAGCCGAGCCAAGGTTTCGGGCCAGACTGGTGAATTAGGTCGGAACTTGGGTTTGAGCTCCTCATTGGGAACTGCTGCACAAATGTTTTGAGCATTCCATCACCAGTTTCACACAAAGTGGCAAAACATTATACATTTTCCCATCACTTCAAGACAAGAGTATATGTGCAAACAGTAACACAAAGAAGAAACCACACAGATTTACATTTTTGACAGTCTTCAAGAGAACTGTCCTTATGGACAACAGTAAACTTTTATTTATATAGCGAGTGATACTGAGAAAATGTGTGGCTAAACGCAAATGCCTTGCAGATTGTGCATTCGTAGTGAACTAACCAGCTGATAATGGCGATCAACATTGTTCTCTCTCAATGCACAGTGATCAGCCTGAACTAGTATCGCAACTTACTCTGGACAAAAAGAAGAAAAGGAAACAGTCAATCACTGCTCCGCTGTACACAACGCGAAGCTGAACTGACAGTGGTGAACCAACAAAAAATGGTCAGTTGTAGGAATGCCTTTAATATCCTACTTGCATGCTATTGGTAACTGAGTATCAGACTACGGCATCAACAAAGGAAAACCTCATGTCCTCGACCATTTACCCATGGACTTCGTGCTAGAAACGACAGAAAGTTGAGCTTGGTAAAGATTCATCATAAAAGAACAAATACATTAGACAAAGACGCGTCCTTTGTGCTATGTCTTCACACAATTCTTGTTGCATGTTGGAGACAAAGAAACTGGCAGACCATGACATTTCTGGTCATAACAGTTTTTACAGAGGAATATGGTTATGCTTGCAGGACATGATAAGTTAATGACACCAAAGCCCTCGTGCGGAATACTTAAAAGGCAACATAATCAAAAATTACTATGAGGGTAAACAAGAGACTGTGGAGATGTTTTTTCGCTCTCACATCGACTGACTGATAGCAAAATACAACAAGTTGCACCGTTTGGGTACTACTGTCTGTAATGGAAATTATAAGCTGTACCCGTCCGAAACACAAGCCTGTTGTCATGGCTGCTGAAAGATCAGAATTTAGAACCTTGCACAAAGAGAATGTACAGGCAGTAGGTAGGCGTGGAAATACGTGCCATTTGGCAGACGACACTGGCTGGTGAACTTTGTGGGGTGTTCTTGTAATGTACACACCATGATAGTACTCTACTGCATCTGTTGCCGTAACTATGTTACAGCATATCAATTGATGGCATGTATCGAGGCACCTTCAACCGTCCAGCCGCACAGTGAAAGGACATAGACAGCCTCTCTCAAATCAGTTGGAGATCGAAGGTGATGTGCAAGTGGTACCTGAGTGCACATCCTCTAAATGGACCAACTGCAACGATCCAAACACTGCTATACCGAACAACAAACACTTGAGTGCTTACTGCAAAATAATATACGAAATTTAGTTGTATTATATGAAACTTAGCAGAGCAGAACTTGAGAATAAGATTGTTTAATACTACATTTCACATAACTTTTTTTTTTATGGCTGGGTTTACATTAGCCGTTGAGCAAGGAAATGTCTGCGAAAGAGAGTGAACTGATGATTTTTTTTTTTTTTTTTTTGAACAGGACGAAAACTGTCATCATACACTTCTGCTACTTGACACGATAGACGACGAGCACTAGCAAATGCAGTCACCAGACACGCCACAGTTGTCACAAAACAAAACCCACACACCCTGCATGCAAGCTCGCACCCTGCATGCACCACTGGTTACACCAGTGATCTGGCATGTTTCATAGTTCCATATAGTTCACCAAGGGAGCACAGTGGAACATGTGAAGGCATAGATTACATACGTAAGACAGATTATCAAGAAGATGTGCATAGATCATAGCACCTTAACTTACGACCTTTTAAGCTTCCTTTGGAGTTGCAACATGCCGTGCTCCAAACTCTAAGCTTGTACCATAACGAATATGCCTAGTACTCAACAAGCAAAGTGGCTCAAGATTTATTCTGTGGCAGTTAATTTCCAGCTAAATCACATCATAGAAGTATGGTAACCGAAGCACTACTTAAAGGCCTACTGCAATGAGTGTGAAGGGCCTGTTTACAGAGAATGCGTATCGGCTCATGGCGAATTTTGATGCGAAATACAGGCGTATCACATAATGCTAGCAAAAATGTCTGCAAAATCAGGGAAACACTGCCCGTGTCAGTGGTCGGTAACGTTTCTCAGGAATTTTGAGAGGCAATGCATCTCCTTGGCATGATCTCCGTGATCAGGCGATACTCGCAGTACCTCATTGATCTCGGTGTCTAGGGTTAGCAGGAATTTGGCGAGGCATCATTTAAGGGACGCTAACAGGAAAATAAAAACTTTGCCATGCTTTTCGCGGTAGCTATTGTGGTGGAACTAGTTCATGAGCAACTTTGGTAAAAATGTGGTTTTAGGGAATAAGTAACCACAGGAGAAGTACTTAAATATCTTGTTTTTAAAAGGCTGGCGAAAATGAATTGTTCTAAGCATAATTGCTAAATATGAGCACCAATTTATTGGATATAATTTGCATTTGACTGTCTGGGAATGTGTATTCCTGAACCAATCCATTACTGTAGTGTACCATAGATAGCTTCCTCAATATGGCTTATAGCAATATTGACGCAAAGCTAGCAGCACTGCCAAGAGCATTTCTGCCACTGCAATATTTTACAACCATGAATAAGTTGGATGTTGGCTCTTATGTTATCAACCTCCATATCAAACTGCTAAAGATCAGTTTTGAAAAAAAGCCAAGCCAAAATGCACGGAATATTTTGTCCTGTAAGTTTTATTCTGCAACAAGTGCTAAACAAAGAAAGGCTTGTTATTTTCATTATCACAAACAAGATTACCTTGTACCTGAGCCTTCTAGTGCAGGCCCTTCTCAGAGTGAACAGAAGTAGTAATTCTTGGCTGAGATTTCAGTTCCCACGCTTCTGCACACAACTAGTTGGCGTGCAGGCCTAGCTCATCATATACAAACATTTTGTGAAAATGGCAACCGAAACATTCCAATCAAGTCGTCTCCTATAGAACAATACATGTAGCATGCAAGACTAATGTAGCCTGTAGGAACACATGTTTAATTGGTTAAATAGTTCTCCCTTTCACCAGCTCACATTCAACATTTTTCTGGCAGCATCTTCGAGAAAAGTTTGGCAAGTTTTGTCGTGCAGTCTGCCCAGAACAATATAATTATTACTTGCCCATTTTGCTTGAATTGCAATGAATGTATTTTGGCTCTAGCTGTGGGGAATGCGCAGTTCTTTCCATTACAATTTTTATATGCATAGTTCCCCAATTTATAGTTAGGCTGCATTTGTGTTCGAAAATTTCACTATAATTCAGTCACTTCAATCATTGCTTGAATAAGTTATATGCATCTCTGCCTTAATGCTTATAATACATGCGCTGTGCGGACAGATATGTGTTAATTTTATGTAAAAATAGAAGAAACCATTGCAGTACTCTGCTGCTCACTTCGATCATTGCACAAACACTTTTCAGGGGAAATTTGTTTTTTTAAGAGGTGGGAAGCCAAACTGGTATAATGACAAAGCTCAGCCTGTCCAGAAATCTTGACTGAGATTTTCACTCATGTATTGCATTTTTTTTATTCCTTTTTAGTGAACCAGTGGTGTTAAGTGAAATTAGGCAAATTTCTGAGGCTCACATGTATTATTTGCCTGTGTCATTTTTAGAGGGCCACTGGTGGGGCTTTACCGCCGTTTGCAGGATGTGCGGGCTAGTAGTTTTTACATACATAACACATTATGTTTCACATAGGCATACACAGCTCCACTGAAAAAAAAAGTTACTTTTCAGTAAAAGACCGTTGCAAGCATCTCTAAAGACGAGAACTGTCTTTTGAGATGCTTGCTACAAAATGTGATATGCTGATTAGCTCTCACACCCTCATTATTTATTTCGTGAAACGGAGGCAACTAAAGATATAGCAATGGCAGGTTGTTTCAAAGGAGCGTGCATTTCACTCTGTCAATCTTGTACATTTAATTGCACATATCTTGCTTCAAATTTTTCAGTAATTAAGACATCAGCAAGCCCATGATCTAGTCTTACCAAATTCACAAAGTTTAGCGCAAGTTGAAATGAGGTGAAATTTAATTTTTTTGTGATTTCTAACAGAGAAAGTATCAGACTATGCGCATATTACCACTAGAAAAAAAAAAACAATGCAGTCTCAACTGCAGATATACTGAACTTTTAATTCGAGATACATAAGCAGTGAATGAAAGCAATTAACAGCAGCAACAAATTTTTAAGAGTTTTGTATATGTAGATTCTTGACCTATACGCCATAAAAAAAATTCATCATCAGAGCTGTACACCAGTATGGCAGAGTGCGAAGTTGAGCTTGGGCTCGTTGGTGCATATCATTGTTAAGAAATTTATTTACTGCACTAAAAACACAAAGGTCTAGACTTTTTTGTCCATGTTTTTAGCATCGTAAAAAACTTTTTCATGAATGTGTCAGTGCGAGTGCCTACGAATGCAAAATGAAACAAGAAAGCTATCAATTCTGGAGCAAATCTGATAACACTATTCTATTTTTAAATGCAAGACATTCTGCATCAAGATATCTCTATACATTGGCGTCCACAGGCAACTCTTGTCTTCCTAAATAAGTTATACTGGAGTCACATGCAACATGGTAAATGTAATGCCATTCACAGCCTATGACATTTTGTTAGTAACGTCAAAGCAAACAGGAGAGCTAACGGCATTAAATGACAATTATGTTTCCAACTTTTTTTGACTGCGTAAGTTAACGAAATTCATGCGAACTCTGTTTTCAACCAAATGTGCAACTTTTATACCAGGCACACGCTAAAAAAGTTGTTAATGACTCTGTGCTTTTCAAATTTACAAAATTAGAAATATTTCTGTTCTATTGCCATGCTCAGTAATTTCGTCAGTCATGTTGCTTTTCATTTGACTCTTGACCTTATTTAAGTTGCAAAGATGCAACAAATTGTGTGAAATGACCAAGCTTGTATTATCAGCAGCACTACCAGCAGCAGTAATATGATTTGCACAAATATCTCTGAGCAAGTCATGCTGCCTTCCTCCTAAGGCAATGGCATGAAAGGTTGGTTATAGCACAGCATTTTCAAAAGACGTGTGTTCATCGCGTGATGGCAAGCAGAAAAACATGACACGACATTTGCAGCGTGACAGGAACATAAATTGCTGTAATGTTCTCAATACGCTAATACAGTGCACCTGGAATTTCTAAAATGGCGCCACTGTTGACAAGAATGCCAGTTTATATAACATGAGCTTACGTTGATAAAAAATGCGCGACTTGCTTGTATGCAAAGGCCATGCCCTATATGACCTGTTGTCACAAGAGCAAGCAAATTGACGCACCACCTTAATGACCATGAACCGATACAATTAGACTGCACATACGATCCGCAAAGAAGAAATTCGCTGTTCCCATCTTGATTCTCCCAGATTCCACAACTTCCACTGTCACTATCAATAGTGCCTTAATATATGAAACTGCAGCTTGATTCACCAGCGTTCAATGTTAGGAAGCATATGGTGGCAGTCTTTTTTATTACATTAAAACAACGTTTGAGAAATGAACAGGCCCGATGTTAAAAAATTGAACCGCTCGAAAAGCTTGTTGGCGGTGAAACATCGTGAAAACTTGTGGCACGCAAAAAAGACGGACTAAGAAAGATAACCGAACGATGCGCTGCGGGACAGCGCATCGTCCCATTGTCTTTCTTAGTCGGTGTATTTTTCATGCACCACAAGCTTTCAAGATGTTGAACAGCTCGTGCATTTTGTCATCGGAACAACAACAAATTAACGCAAGCACATTGACAAATCTTGAAACATAAATCTGCTGTGTCCGTGTGCTTTACAAATCATGCACTCGTGCGACTGGAAGTTTTGATAAGCAAAAAAAGCATCCTCTGGATGAAGAGCTTGCCATTTACAATCCTGAAAAACATACTTCGAAAACGAAAACGGTACAGTACATGCGAGCACAATGCTAAAGAAAAGTAACGTGCAGCTATGACACAACGCATGACATGCGTTAAACGAAGCAGACTAAATCCTACAACTGGATGCAATGCTCTCTGTTTCCAGAAAACATATAAGGATTTGAGGGGCTATGCAGTATTCAGGCAACACTGAATTCCTGCCTCAATCTCGGTTTTCAAGGTGCATCTCGCCATACTTTTTTTCTCATGCCATACAATGGACAAACGGTAACATGTTCGAATGATACGATGTTAACGGTTGAGCCAGTATTTGGATAGGCACTTATGATGATTTTAATTCATGTTCGCATTGTACATCACTGAAAATGAGCCAACTTGAAATTGCGGAAGCGAACTCAACTGTAAAAGTCAGAAATCTTTAACGGTGCAGTGAAACGGCCTTGTCTTGGATTTACTCGAAGACACATATGACTACACTTAATATAACAAAATTTCATTATACATGAAAATAGGTTTGTTATATATAAAAATTCGTTATAAGGGTTTATTCCCAACTATATACCTATTGCAAAACTATTTTTCATTTACTTTGTTTTAATCCATATTTCGCTATATCCGGCTTCATTATATCGAGGTCTGAGTGTATCTGCTCTTTTTGCTTGCATTCGGAGTCGTTATTTTAGGTATAGTTGCACTGTTTGCTGAGTTAGCACAGCATCTTGTTCGTTACCACCTGCATCGCATGACCACATCTGCAGTAAGAAACATTAAAAACAAACATGCTGCTTTGGCCAAACTGCAACGGACTCTGTAGTGCCTACCGAACTCTGACAAACAACAGAGGAAGCCAAAGGAAGTCTATTTTCTACAGCAGTGAATGAGCTAAAACTTCCAAGTTTATTGAAAACACAAGAATTTAGCCTGCCACAAATGTTTTACATGAATAAGTTGGGCAAGAACAAACCTACAGAGACTACACTGCATTCCTTTACACAACCATTAACTACAAAATCAAGCCAAGTCAATACGAAACTTTCATATTCGTGGCTAACACTTTTAGCTGCTAATATTACCCGCAGAACACTGCAGACGGCCACAGCCTGTACCAATGCAATCAACCAAATCTCGAGACACAATGGCGCTCAGATGGGCGCAGCAAAGAACATGCACAGCTAATTACAAGCTACTCCCAGCTTCGCAACTCAAAGAATGAATGAAAGAAAACCTACACTTGTACTTACAATGAAATTAAACCGACATTGAGAACCTCGCTACACTTTAACACTGCTGCATCCCTTCATACACTTACTCGCACCAATGCTAGCAACCCTGTACAATTCTATATGCTCGATTCAGGCATGACCAAGCAATTTACATTAGCACCAGCAGCATTGGGGGCAAAAAACAAAAAGATTAATGAACTCCCATTTGTCAAAGCAGCCAATTTTGCAATCTTACTCTCAGTACAGAGTCACTGGGATCAAGGAAAAGAAATGTGTGATATAGCAATAGCTTCAGTTCTTTGCAGACAAGACCAGAGACGCAAACGTACATACACAATCTGCTTCGACCAGAAAATAAAAATTATGAAATAAAGAAAAGTTTCTGGAAAAAGAGAACTAGCCGTCAGTTCTTGATCCTGTCTTGCCGAGCCACAGGATTGTCCTTTTTTTGCCCCCCAATCACGGCTACTTCATCCACAGCCACAAAGGCATGGGCCACGGCGACACAACCAAAGCACATGACACCGGCTCACTTTAGCACGTGCCGCCATGGCTGCGCAAAATGTAGGCCACAGTCAGTCGTTTGAGCGGGCGGCGGCGGCACAACGGTCCCTCTCCTTTCACATGGCGCTCACACAGTGCCTGCCCCGTGATGGCCCGGCCGCCTCGTTAGCTCGACACGGAGGCCGCCGCATTGGAGGAGCTGGATGCAGCTGCAGTGGCTGCACAGTCCGAGCTGTCCCTCCCGGGAGAGCGCGAGCCAGGCGAAGGTACGTTCGTGGCCGATGCTCGCTTCAGGGAGTCCAAGTACTCCTGCTGTGACTGCGCCAGCACCCTGGCTATGATGTCCGTGTCCTCCCAGTCCGTCAGGCCTGGGAAAGATGCTTGGCTGAACTCAAACGTGCAATACAAAGCTTCCCAATTCGTACAACCCCTCAAAGCCGTCAATTTTTTTTGTGCTTTACATTGGCATAACCACTTCAGGCACAAATCCATGTAGGGTGTAAAAAAATTGCTAACATGTAAGCAATACACAGAACATTGTTATGCAGCTTAATAAACAGTATGAAGCCTAAACCACATAAGGTTCTGAATAGAGCTGTGGCAGTGCTTGCCCACTCATCATTACAACACACACAATTTCAAAAATACAACATGGACCACTTATAGCGTCAGTAATGAATATGTGCACATTAAGTGGTACCCATACTGTAGCCAAAACAACATTTTTCAAAGTCTACATCTGTGTGTGTGTATAGGAAGACACTTGGGCTTTGCCTGCAAGAGTAGATCACGATAGCATAACTGGGCCTCATGCACATTGCTTTCTGAACTGGTATAACCTGCTTCGGTTCTCAGTGCATGCCTCAACAAGGCTGTAAGAAAACGAATGACTGTACCTTTAACCTAGGCCGTTTCAGAGCAATATTGAATGCCTATAGCAAGCACAGTTGTTAAGTGCTGCCGACCCATTACCGTATTTACTCGATTCTACAGCGCCCTCGATTGTAACGCGCACCGAATTTCCACGACAAAAAAAAAAAAAAAACGTAAGACATCGATTGGAACGCGCACACATTTTTCTCGCTGGCCCACACGATTACACCACTCTAAAAAACGACTCCTTTCGGGAGCGTCTTCCATTTTAATATGAGATACGGGCGAAGCTTTTGCCCATCTGACGTGTAACAGAGCATCATTGCCGTCACTGTAGTTTTACTGTGGACTGATGTCAGCACGCGAACTTGCTTCACCCCCTTCTTCTCGACGGTTGTGGTGCCAGGCATGTCGAAGAAAAGAGGCGTCTGATTGGCATTCACGATTTGCCCAAGCAGGTAGCCGTTGTTGTGCCGCAGGTTTAGGACGAACCTCTGAAAACTGTGAAGCTTTTCATCGAACTCCTCCGCAAAACTTTTCCCATATGCCCGTTCCCCTTCGAAAGAAAAAGCCTTTCCTCTTCATAAAGTTAGTTAGCCAGCACCTGCTCGCTTTAAACTGGCTCCACATTAGACCTTTTTCTAAGGCTACTTGCATAGCCCGCAGTTGGAGCAGTTCTGTCGTCACGGGCCGCTGTGCCGCTCGCTGCTCAAGCACATACTCGCCGAGCAGCTCTTCCATTTGCGGAAACCGACCCTGCTGTGGTCCACTGAAGCCTTTGCGTGAAGCTTTGCTGTCAACAATCTTCTGCTTTTGTTTCCGCCGGTCCCACACGCACGTTTCGGGAACTCCGAACGACCGCGATGCGGCCCGATTTCCGCCCGTTTCTGCACACGCGATGACTTTTCTTTTAAAAGCGGCATCGTGGTGCACTCGAGTTTTTGGGGTCGGCCCTTCCATGCTGTCGATGCTAATGCACTACAAGATGACGAACTCCTCAGCACACGTACGAAGTGCTGCACATGGGAAACACATAGGCAGAAATGGCCGACGCGCCATGCTGACGCACGTAGGGGCAGCCATATTGGAAATGCCGATGGCAATAGAATGACCATCTTGACCGTCTTCATTTTTTTTTTTCGTACTCGATCTTAACGCACATGCGATTTATGAACTCGATAACCCGAAAAAAGGTGTGCGTTAGATTCGAGTAATTACAGTAATTATTCTGTTTGCGAATCACCGAAGGGCCCACTACGTGTCCGTAGGGCAAGTCGCAAATATACTAAGCTGTTCACTTTGTTAATAGTGATTAAATATGTTTGAGCACTTTGTACTGGGTGGACACCCACTAGTTGCTCAATTCACCGCTTTTGATGCCTGGCACAATTCTACACTTCTGTTATGCAATCTGATGCGTTAAGGAGACTCCTTCCACAACATGAAATTCGTAGTGTTTTTTGTTCTTTCAACATCGTTCCAACACATTTCACGTCTGTGAGGTAGAACGCCTCTTTACCACGTAGACAGCATGGTTTCTATCCTCACTCAAGCCTGAAAATTTTTAATATTTATTTTCCTCAATTTTTTGGTTCTGGACAAAATGATTCTGGAACAAATTTCTCTCCCACAACCAATGATGCCCACATCAACACCGACGTCAACAGTGACGTGGGAATTTCTGGGAAATGAGCTCTTTAACGTGAGCTCGTCAGAACATATGTAAAAGTGCATAAAACTACAAAAGGCAACATGGAGAGAGAGTAAGAACATTGAACTGCTTTATTCCACTGACAACACCAGGTATAAATACATACACAGAGCTAGCTGATAAAGAAATATAGCTAAAGGAAGCAATCGGCAAGTAAAGCACTGGGTGATACAAGGTAATACTTGCTGGGCAATACTCAGTGGTACAGTCCAGCCCACATATAACGGCCCCACTTAAAACGAACTTTCGCTTAAAACAAACAATATCTGCATGACCGTCAAAATATACATTGGTTCAATGGCACAAAATCGCACTTACAACGAACGTCTCTGAGCGCCGCTGATCGGTTACAGCGAACGGAGTTAGCGGTCTGCGGACTTCCCGGGAAACCAATTTCGACCATCGACCAGGCATTGGCGAAGTGTCCATACATTCTTATTGTTAAACGCCGACCCTGCCTCCGCGACCCTCTAGTTGCCACTCTTCTCAACCCATGGAGGAAGGAAAGGAAGGAAAGCTGTTTCCTTCCTCCATGCCCTGACTGTTTTTTGTTACGCACTCCTCTTTCCGTTGTCCCCTCGGTACTCTGAGGCCCCCGCATCGCCAGACGAGGCCCGTGTTCTCACATTGCCACCTATATTTCGAAGATCGGTCGGCCATCTACCCCGTTTTTGATCGCTGGCACTGTCGTTGGCGTCGCCGGCCTGGAGTGACCAGGCCATTTACCAACATCATCGGCCACCGACTGTATCCGATATTCAGCGTCTAGTACACGCGCGTAAGCTACCCCATGAACTCTGATAATTTGCGATTCGTTTCGTGCTTAGGACTTGTTCTCGCTCACTTCGCCTACAACTCAGCATGCCTCCCGCGCACGTGCGGAGGCGCGAAATCGGCTGTTAATTTGCGCGGAACGAATCGTAAAATATCGAAGTTCGTGAGGCCACGCCAACTTGCCGGCACAACAAAACGATTTTTCACTACGGCCGCCGATTCTTCGAACACCACCGCGCGCACCTTCTGCGCGTGCAGGCGCTCTTTCCAAGTTTTTCTACGTGCGAGTTTCCCGGACCTTTCAAGCAAGCTACTTAACGTGCCTCTTTCCTGTGTGTTTTGGTTTTCAAGGTCGCCTTCTCGCCGCATCCTCCCCCCTCTTTATCGCAACTCCTTGCCCGTCTCCACCGCTCCGCGACGCCCGCCACGCTGGCTCAAATTATTTCATTTCGTTTCCTGACTGAAAACAGGCCCAGAGCTGTTCCATGCGTTCTATCATGTGTGTCGCGTGTGCGCGTCTTGCTCGCTCTTGGTGTGCGTGGACTAGCACGCTTTTTCCTGCCGCTCAACAAAACGTCGAAAGTGTGACCGCTTTGCTTGAGCGTAATCCGCGCGTTAGGTGCCACGTTTTGGAGCGCTTGCTCATAGCTATTGACCACCTGGCAGCCAACTGGCCGCTTCGAGCGTCCCGGTATTCAGCTGAGCATGGAGATGGTGAATATTTCGTGGGCAGCGAGGACGGCTACATGGCTACATGCGCGCGAGACAGTTTTCGCGAGGCCGACTTCGTCGACATCGAGCTCGATGCCGAGCCTGAAGCTTCCGAACTGCGGCGGCGATTTGTGGCAGCGCATCGTCGACTCCGACCTGGGAGAGCGGGTGGGACATCTGTTGCGGTGGGCCGACGGTGAGGACGAAAACTGTGCACGGATTGGGGCATTGTGAATGAAGTACGTGGCGAGAGCGATTTGGAGGAATCGGATTGCGAGAACGACGAAACTTTGGAGCCAGTGCCTCATGCAGCTTATGCCACGGGTCTCGGCGAATGAGCACCCTGCTGTTTTAAATTAACTCGAAACCGCCCTTATTGCTTTTTCTCTTCGAAACACGTGCATCACGAAATTTTGGGGGGGCAAGAAAGGTTGCGTTGTCACTCGCAACTTTTTTAAATGCTGTGTTTCATTTACTACGAACTTCGGGATACAGCGAACGGATGCCGCGTCACGCTCAGGTTCATTATAAACGGGTTCGACTGTATGTATAACTTGCCCATGGGCAAGATTTCGTCAGTCTGCGTGCACGAGGGGTATTGGTCAGGCAAATGAAACAGGTGCGCTAATTGTTTTTCGATCGAAATGGAGGGTCTGCACAGTGCGCAGCGCACTACCTAACATCTGGAGAATGTGATCGCTGTGGCCTGCCATACTAGTTGGTAGGGCGAAGGAAACAGGCTTGGTTATTGTTTTTCGATCGATATAAAGGGTGTGTACAGTGCGCAGAGCATTATTATTCGGAGAATGTGATCGCTGTGGTCTATCGTACTAGTTGGCGAGCTTGTTTGAGGGGCATTAAAAAAAAGAAAAATGAAAGAGTCGAAGCGTGTTTACTGAATGGCCCTTAAAAAGCCAACTCCGGCAATTTTTCGGTCGATGGATCAAAATGAAATTCACTGGGTACTTTCATTTGCACATTTGCGCCATTCATGCCAAATTGCAGGCTTGAAACGTCTGCAAATGTTTTTCAAACCAATTTTATAGCTTGCCTTCAAGTGCTCCACTGATTTGCCAGAATTAATGGCAACATTGTGTGCGCGTGACATTGGTTTTTCCCTGGCAGAAGTGACAAAACTGATGCGCCACTGCAGTTTCTGCTTCTCTGCTATGGATTGTGTGGGTTTGGCCGGCGCTTCCTTGGCTGAGTGTGAGATTTCTTTTCCCGTGTTAATGGGAGGCGACAGGTGGCAAGCGGTGTTGTGTTGTGCACGATTCACCATATACAGTCGAGCCCGCTTATAATGAAATTGAGTCTGACGTGGCATCCATTCGCTGTATCCCGAAGTTCGCAGTAAATGAAACACAGCCTTTAAAAAAGTTGCGAGTGAAAACACAAATTTTTTTTGCCCTAAAAAAGTCGGTGATGCACATGTTTTGAAGAGCATAAGCGATAAGGGCGATTTGGAGTTATTCCAAACAGCAGCGTGCTCTTCGCCAAGGCCCGTGGCATAAGTTGCATGAGGCACTGGCGCCAAAGTTTCGTCGTTCTCGCAATCCGATTCCTCGAAATCGCTCTCGCCGCGTATTTCATTCACAATTCCTTAATCCGTGCATAGTTCCGCGGTGTCGGCATTATCATCGGCCGTAATGAAACCATCGCAACAGATGTCCTACCCTCCCTCCTATGTCGGAGACCAATGACGCGCTGCCACAAATCGCCGCCGCAGTGGTCTTGTTCTGAAGCTTCAGGCTCAGCATCGGGCCCGACATCGATGAAGTCGGCCTCGCGAAAACAGTTTCGAGCGCATGTAGCCGTCACCGCCACCCATGAAATATTTATCTCCACAGCTGAATACCGGGATGCCCAAAGCGGCAAGTTGGCTGCCAGGTGGTCAACATCTATGATCAAGCAAGGCGGCACCTAACGTGCAAATGACGCCCAAGCCAAGCGGTCCCACTTTCGGCGTTTTGTTGAGCCGTTGGAAAAAGCGTGCAAGGCCTCCCGTCCACTATCCTGACCACACACGCGCACACCAAGAGCGAGCTAGACGTCAACACGTGACACAGACGCCAGAACGCGTGGTATAGCTCTGGGCCCACGGAGGAACGAAAGATAGGAGAGGGCATGCCCAGCCGGCACGCTACTTGAAAAGTGTGGAGGAAATGACATCATGACGGCCATATTCACTGGTCACAATGGCGGCGTTGCTACCATTACGTGTTGCGCAGTCGAGCTGGTATAGCAGTGAGCGGCCGCGGCTGTTGGTGGCAGGTGTGCCTCCCCAGGTCTCATGCTCAGCCGTGGCGGACAATATCCGTGCTCTGCGCCGCGTTATTATGCAGTGTTCTCCTGGCAGTTACTGTACTCTTAGTAACGTCTACAAATTCGTTTGTCCATTACGGGGTTTCAGCAGTGCGTAGAACGAGTGCATATCCATGTGTCGTGCGGCGGATGAAGCAATTAGTGTTTAGCGAAATTGCGTTGGGCACCATAACGAAGCGGAACGACGACGAACGCCTTTCAGGTCAGTGAAGGTTGCGCAGTGAACCTGCTTGTGACAACGGACGCCGCTGTTAGCCCAGCAAGACTCAATGGGGACCATGTGCACATACATAGTTTCGTGTTGTGTGTGTACAATAACAACCTGCATGTGCATAATAAACACCTTTTCTGTTCCGCTTGTTATACTCGCCCCCAGCATTGCATCTAATCTCAACGTTAGAGCAACCGCATTCAAGTGTCACTTGCACCGTGCTCGAAGTCACCACGGTCGCAGAACGTTGACGCCGGTGAGTTTCACACGGAATACGGGCACAGTGGACAGGCGCTGCGTCGGCCTCGTGTCGGAATGCAACCGTAGAAGGCACACGACCAATCGTGTTGTCTGTACAGTTGCTGAATGAATGATGTGAAAACACTCGCTGTTGTCAGTGCATCTAGTGCGCGTTTTCTTGCCCTTGCTTCGTTGTCTGTGAGCTGTTGCTCACTGTTAATACTCGCACGAAATGATTTCGCCGAAGGTGTCGCGCTGGCCCAGAGTGTTGAGCCCCGTTCCATTAGTTTCAGATCGTCAAGACACGCACGCTGCGCAGCTCACGTGCTTTCCGAGCAGGAGAGGGAGTCGTGCCTTCTCCTTTATGTTCGGATGTAAACAAGAGAGGAGAATTTGCCCAGTCAATATGGCCGACTTCCGGCTTCATCGCGTCTTCACAACGACTGACGTGAGGGCCTCTCCTACCTTTCCTTCCTCCGTGGCTGGGCCAGTTTCTAGTCTGAAAACGAAACTTCTGAATTCAAGCCAGCGTGGCTGGCGTCGCGGAGCGGTGGAGACGGGCGAAGGAGTTATCATGAGAGGAGAGCAGATTTGCGAGAGAAGGGCAAGGGATTGCAATAGGGTGAAGAGAAGGGAGGATGCGGCAAGAAGGCGACCTTGAACACGCGGAAAGGAGGCAGGTCGGGTAGGTTGTTTGAAAGGTCCGCGAAACGCGCAACTCGCACGTAGATAAGAGTGCCTGCGCGCGTAGAGGTGAAAGCACGGCCGCCTGAATTGGCGCGTGCGGCGGTGTGCAATGCATCGGCGGCTGTAGTGAAAGAATCGTTCTGTTACGCCAGCGGGTTTGCGTGGCCTCGCCGACTTCGTTATTTCGAGATTTGTTCTGCGCATATGAACAGCCGTTTTTACGCTTCCTAACGCGTGCGGAGGGCATGCTGAGACGAGTGCGAAGTGAGCGAGAACAGGTCCTACACACGAAACAAGTCGCGAATTATCAGAGTCGGTGGGGCAGCATATGCGCGTGCACTAGAACAATACGATAAGAAAAGACCTAAATGATGGGATACAGTTGGTGGCCGACGATGCCGACAAATGGCCTGGTCACTCTAGGCTGGCGACGCCAACGACAGTATCAGCAATCAAATACAGGGGAGATGGCCGACCGGTCTTCGAAAGATTGGTGGCAGTGTAAAAACACGGGCCTCATCTCATCTGGCAATACGGGGTGCTCAGAGTAGCGGGGGGGGGGGGGGGGGGGGACACAAAAGGTGGAGGGGTGCGTAACAAAAAGCGGTCGGGGAGAGCGGCAACTAGAGGGGCAGAGGCAGGGTAAACGTTTAACAATAAGAGTTCATGGGCCCCTCGCCGATGCCTGACCAGCGGTTAAAAGTGGTTTCCCGGGAAGTCGGCAGAGCGCGGACTCTGTTTGCTGTAACCGATCGGTGGCGCTCGGAGACGTTCGTTGTAAGTGGGATTTTGTGCCATCAAAACAATGTACATTTTCACGGTCCCACGGATATTGTTCATTTTAAGCGAAAAGTTTGTTTTAAGTTTAAGGGGCTGTTATATGTGGGCTCGACTGTATTCACCATAACAGCGTAAGCATTCTAGCCGATCGCCGCGGACAGCATGGACAGGTAGTGCTATCTGGTGGGCATTATGTGCAATCAGGCAGGTTCAGGCAAATGATTACATCACACGTTGAAGCACACTCAGTTGGGTTTTAATATCGTGCTTTTTCGGTAATCAAAAACTATTTCTGAATTTGTTGAGCATTTCAGCCATCTGCACGTGACAAGTGTCTCAGAAACATAATAGCACCATTATCCTGACATGGTCAAAAAAATGGCCGGAGTTGGCCTTTAAAATCGGACAATCTTGAGCTATACCAGACAATCTTAAACCGGACAGTGCCAGCCTTCGCATTCTTACCAAACATGGACGGTGGCAAGTGGTTGAGGAAGGAGGCCGTTTCGATCAGGGAGAAGCCTTCTTCTTGCAGCTGCAAGTGTGCTCCTGAGGACGGCTGCTGCAGGTTGTCACGGGAGCTGGACAGGCCTGAGCTGCCTGCCTTGGGGCTCAGCTCTGCACAACAGCATGGCCGCGTTTCATCAGAAGGTCCTCCCACAGCCCTTGCACCATTATTTAGGAAGACGGTATTTTAAAAGCTCATTCACCCCCATGACAAGCATGGATTGCGAATGGTGAGCAAAAAGAAAAGTGAAAAGTGCTCACACTGTCCTGTGATAACAGCTGCCAACATGTAAAATTCACTTGAGAAGCGTGTGAACTTGAGCTTGTTGGTACAGATCCATATGAAAAAACAGAGCAAAAACAGCAAGGAAAAAGACAAAAGAAACAGGACGGAATGCTCCATCCTGCTTCTTCTGTCTCTTCCTTTGTTTTTTTTGTGCCGTCTTTTAATATGAGCATAAAATTCATATCTGCTTGCATTGCTATTGCCCAGCGAAATAAGCTGACATACTGTTCTTGCTCCCCTTAGTGGTTCACAGGTTTGCGACTGACGACAGGCAATTGAAAAATCGAGCAGCCAGTGACTGAGCCCAAGTACAGTAGAACCTTGTTGATGCATTTCTGTATAGGGGGGACTCAGAAAATAGACATACGGTCTGAATATTAAGATCCAAATTGGGGTATATTTAGTTTTTGAGACTGCAAGTATAGGAGCTGGGAAATCTTATTAAATGGGAACATATGAACGAGATTCTACCATACTTGCTTCGCAACTAAAGCGGCTATTTGCAATCATTGTCCAAGTTGGATGTACGACCTGTGCAAGTCGCATTGGTCAATGAGACTTCAATCTTCGTTGTAGCACGGTAAAAGACACGGCCACGTGGAAAAAAAAGGCATACAATGACATGTGGTACTAACTTGTCACAACATGTGTACAACATGTCAACCAACATGTGTACGCTTCATTGAAAAGCAGCAAGAGCACAACTAGGCACTTTGCAGTTTGAACTTATCACCAATGCAACCAATTATTATCCAGAGTTTATCAGGCAGTATCATACGGCCTAATGTATTCACTGACCACATACATCCTAGTGGCTCATCCTACGCATACTGAGTAATTAGTCTATAGCGTGACAACTTTTGGCAGCACAAAAGTTGTGCTCCCCGACCCGCCCAAGCCATCTCGCTGAAGCGCGCACGTGAAAACATTGGACTTTAGATGCCTTAGACAGGTGAGCCCCTCGTCGACCAGGTGAGCGCACTCACACATAAAACAGGCTGTGAGTGCAAAGTCTCTTACTCTGAAGACCTACCCTGAACTACGGTCCTAAAATACTGTATCCAAACACTCAAACCTGTTGATGAGTCATCAAAACTGCTCGAGCATTTGCCTTCATTTCCTCAACTCCTCCACCGCGAGAATGCACGCTCACAACACAGCACACACTATTTTCTGCATAGAAGACGTGTGAGGGCCCGTCGCGCCAACTGTTCCCCTCATTCTTTGCATCCACGCAGCAGCATATGCTTGTATGATTTCGGAATTTTAGATTTCGCCATCCGTCCGTCATGTTTTTACTATTCCCTTGCGATGAGTTACAATAATTACGTATACGGCAAAATTCAAGCTCACTGTTATCAAGTTTGTGGAAGAAAACGGGAACAGTGCCTACACCAAGCACTTCAGCATGAAGTTCTTTAACATGCGATGATCAGTACGGGAGAAAGCAGCTAAGTGCACACTTGCTGATAGAACTTCCTGCCGGTGAAAAGACCTTTTTAATTATGTGCGAAAGCTTAGGTCCTCCAGTATCGCCATGTGGCAAGACCTTATTTCGCTCAGTATTGTTGGTAGGGCATCAAGAAAATCAAGCATTTGAACGCGCTCAATGGCACTGAGGACGATGCATTTTGGGAGGGCGGTGCGACAACAGCCGCGACAATGATTATGAATCAGACCTTTTGGCTATTAATTCCAAATCAATTGTACAGGACCCGAGTTTTCTGGTTAAGATATGTGCTAATTCTATTAAATAAACGAGTACACTTCGTTTGTGCTTCAAGTTAAAAAAAAAATGTTTTTACCATGTGCATGAGGACTGTATACTACTGAACATTTTTCGGATGCTTTCACGAAAATCTCTGCCTTTTTGGCGCACCCCTTTTCAAGCTCCAAGATCAGGAAAAAAAGTGCCCAATTTATGTGAGTAAATATGGTAATTATGTTTTGCTTTAAGAGAAGGTTTATAGGCAGGCCAGATAAGCATACAAATACAGTCAAATAGAATTTTTTCGGACACGCTTAATTCGAATTTCCAGTTAATTAGAACCGACACTGTGGTCCCGTCAGAGCTTTGTGAACTCTAATGGGCCAATACGCCGGGTAATTCGAACACGCAAGCACTTGCGACGGTAAAGTCGAATAGACCGCCCTCCGAAAATGCTATCAAATGCCTATCTGCGACTTACCATGTGCCATGCTCCCCCTTTCCCATCCCTGCCGCTTAGAGACTTCTCTTTTCAACGCCAGGACGAAGACAGAAAAAGAAAAGAAAAAAGAAAACTGTGGCAGAGTGTTTGCTTTCTCTCAAATGCAAATCTGCGTCTCTCCACATGTGTCAACCATGAAGAGACGCTCCTCCTTTCTCGCCACAAGCCCACCACACTGCAACTGTGGTGCAGAGGGTACCAGCAACAAAAATGCAGTCGTCGTCATCATTATTTGGTGTGAGGTGCGACTAGTTGACTAGGCTTCGGAAGGTCATGGCGAGCCGGGGCGCTTATTGCCCACCAAAGATCCTTAATATGAAGGTGGACATTTTGTGCGAAGTTTTGAACAGCGTCCTTTCCAATACTGAAATCGCTAAGAGGTATGACATTCCCAAGACAGTGATGCTACTGGCTTAGGATGCTTTGGAGCAGCTTTTAGAGCAGGTGAAAATGCATTTTGGAACAATAAAACTGGATTATGTATACACGTATTACTAGAAGCTAATTTAAGACACGTACTACGTTTGCAACAGACAACTGATAAAAGCACAATGCACTGCACGCTTTGCAACAGACAACTGATAAAAGCACAATGCGCTGCACGCTAAGCATAATAAATACCGTAGAACCTCGTTGATAACTTGTCAAAAAAAAAAAAAAAAAACACGGAAGATAAACGTACGATCCGAATCCAGAAAAAATTGAGGCTGACAAGTCCATATAGAGGCGTAAGGGCAAAAAAATTTTTCTTAAACTAACTTTCTGCTGCTGCCTCTCATGGTTGGACAAGAAAAGCTCCTTCTGCACACACTGTCAACCCCTGTTCGCATTTTCATTGTTTTCTAGCAAAAGACGCTTTCTAAGCTTCCAGCCCAGGTCAAATACTAGGTCAATCCTTGACCTAGTATTTATGGATAGCAGAATTACTGATTATACTGTTTCTGTTAACGGACTATCAGACCACAAGCTTGTTCAAGTGTGCATAAAAAATGTACTGCCAGCCAAGTCTCTCAGAGAAACAATACATATAAGAAATTTTGCTGCTGCAGATGATGTCAGCATCTTACACTACCTCGAGACGCAACTGGAGACGTTTGATGGAGCAGGTGAGGTCAATAAGTTGTGGGATAAGTTTAATGATATCGTTGATCTTTGTATGCATAAATACATCCCGATAAAAGTAAAAAAACGTCAAAAGACGAAATCCTTGGGTGAATCGAGAAATCATACAGTTAAAAAGGAAATTAAAACATAGAAGGAAAAGAAAAAACTAAGATCGTAATGAGATCCATAATTTTTCAATTACTCTCAAGGAAAAACTATCGCAAAAGAACACTACCATTTCCACACTTTGTCGAAGTTTATGAAAGAACCGCCACAGCGATTTTGGCATCACCTCGCTCCATCTTGTGAGAATGTGACCTATATTACGAATAATTGATGTATAATTACCGACCCCACTCAAATTGCTGATAAATACAATAAATTTTTCAACTCTGTTTTCGACCCCTCTACACCTTTGCCTACAGCGATAAGAGCTAAAATGGATAAAGCGCATTCAGACATGCTAGACTATGTTATCTGAAGAAGGCATACTTTCTCTCCTGTTAAACCTTGATACCAAAAAGTCTCCTGGCCCGGATGGCATTCCTAATGGATTCCTTAGAAGATATTCGGAATGGATTGCTAAGTATTTACTGATAATTTTTAATGTGTCTCTTGAGCAGCATAAATTACCACATGATTGGCTAATAGCGCGAGTCGTACCAGTACACAAAACAGGCGATAAACATTAAGTACAAAATTACAGACCAATATCTATTACATGCGCATGCTGTAAAATATTCGAGCGTATATTATCAAAAAGCTTGTTTAGTTTTCTCGAAAGCTCAAACAGGTAAAATCCTAACCAGCATAAATTTAGGAGACACTTATCCACAATTACCCAACTTGCTGAAACAGTGCACGATTTCGCTGAAATACTTAATGAAACAGGTCAAATAGACGGAATTTGCTTAGACTTATCGAAAGCCTTTGATCGTGTTTCCCACTCGCATTTAATTGGTAAATTACTTCAGCTCGGAGTAAACTTAAATATAATGAAGTGGATTGAATCGTATCTAGCTGATAAGACACAATACGTCGAAGTGAAAGGAAAGAAATCGAGAATGTTAAATGTAATGTCTAGTGTCCCCCAGGGATCAGTATTAGCACCTGTTTTATTCCTGTGTTATATAAAAGCTATTACAAGTGGCCTTAGTAGCAAAATTACTGCTAGTCTGTTTGCAGATGACTGCCTAATATATTCTAAAATATCATCTCATGAAGATCATTTAGAGTTAGCCTCAGCACTGCAATTCATTGCTGTGCTATTGGTGCACACGATGGAATATGAAAATAAATCAAGAGAAAACAGTATATGCGTGCATAACTAGGAAAACAAAAAATATGTCAGTTTTCAATTACATATTAGACGGAAAGCCATTGACACATGTTAGGCACTTTAAGTATTTAGGCATTACGATATCAGATGACTTATCTTGGAAAAAACATATTACTAACTTATGTAATGCCGCTGAGGTTAAACTCTGGTCATTTAGACGTAAGTTTAAATT